ACGCACGCACGCACGCACATACGCACATGGACACCGATTCAAACGTTAATGTAAATGAAACCTCTAGAAGTAAGTAGAAGTAAATGAAAGAAGCTAGAAGGATATTACAATCCTTCTAGCTGCGTGACGCCGGCGAACAAGCCCAACTCTACGTGGCAGATTAATAGGATCTGGGCAACTAGCAGACCGGTGTGCAAGCAAGATGGAGTGACAGTGGGGACGGCCAGGCTCCACAAAACCGGAGAGCCAATCGAGGAGCTTGTGGGCGGATCTAAACTAAGGGAAACAGGCTTCAGCTTGAGTGGCCGTTTTCCGCTTGGTCCTAGTGTTGTCACACTCTGTATGTGTGCAGGTGGTGGATGATTCAGGACAGATGGACTCTCTCAAAACCAGAATGGAGGAAAAGTTCATCGCCAACTCGTCCAAGGTTTTATATTCTATTATATCATGTTATATTCTATTATATTATATTATATTATTTCATGAGAGAAGATCTGATCAGTTATCACCATGTATCATCCATCAAATAATCAAACAGATTATTGTAACCTCCAGGTGTCCTATGAACCAATCAGCAGCACCCTGCGGAGGAAACAGGAAGAGGTGGCGGCAACGGTGATCCAGAGAGCTTACAGGAAGGGCCTCCTGCAGCACAGAGACACCACGGGGACGGTGGTGGAGTCTGTGAATGGTGGCGGCGCTGTTTCAGGCTCCTTCCACCCAGAGTGAGGTTTTCCTTTACGACTTCCTGCCAGATGAGAACCTGAGGGAGTCTATTATCTGATGGCGTGTTTCTACTTGGCACTGAGGGGACTCACCTGTGGATGGACAGAGTCCGCTGCACATCGCTCTTCTTCTGGCTTTGAACATTTTATTATCTTTGTTCACCAAAATGTTCCAAAAAAATGTTATATAAGTACTAATGCAGTTTATTATTAACACTTATATACCAAAAGCTCCATTTCAAGAGTCTCTTATCAGATCAGATTTCAGTTATTCTCAGTCCAAAAGGGGTGCTGACTCCTTCCTGGATGTATTTACACTCAGCTGTTTAGAGATCAGATATCTGATCAACGAAAGATGCACAGGGGCGGATCTAGAGGAATATTGATGGGGTATCCAAAGGGTGTCAGAAATATATCCTGATTTAATTTCAAACAATCACATTTATCAGGATCTGCTTGGAAAAAGGAAGATAAGTGAACTTACAAACATTCTGGTGGCACATTGAATAGTGATGTCTAAAGGTGACATTAGAGATCAATCTATTAATCATAATCAATTCTTTTATGTCTTTTATCATTGAATTTAAGGGGTTCCACCCCTCTAAAGCTGTTTGGTCCCATGAAGTCTGCTAACGGCTCTGAGAGATAAACTGCTAATGTGGCCAATAACAACCCAAGGACAAAACTGTTTCATTTGTTAGACAAAGTTTGTAAAACAGCAGCGAATAAAAACTCACGTCAGTCAGCAGCGCTACTAACGCACAATATTCCAACTAATATTATTAATACTAACTGTATTATGGAAATATTACGACTTTATTCTGAAAATATTATCACTTAACATCACTTTTAACTGCAATATAGAAATTAACATTAGCATTAAAAGAGAGACTGGATAACACGCACCCTTCCAATCTGGCAGGCTATTTAAACTGCACAATTTCCCAGCTCTCCTGCTCTGTCAGTGTGTTATTGCCCTGCATCTGGTATTGCTGCTGCTCATTCATCCCCAATATCTCTATGGAAACATATCGGGGAGTGATGAGGTCGGAGCCCCGATGCCAAAATCTAAATATGCTATACTGCTGTAAGAAACATTTTGTGAGTTGGTTGACTGAACTACTTTTATTGATTATCAGGAAAGTCTAAAATACCATTAACCTGAAAATACCTGAAACAGGACTTCCTGTCCCTGTTGGACCGAAACTGGAGGAGACTGATGTTAATGCTCATGCTTTTTATTGTATTTTGTTGTTATTGATGCTGTTTTAATGAAAATTAATAAATTAAACTAAATCAATAATAAATAAAAAGTTGCATACATTTCATGTTGTTTAATTTTTTATTTGATCCAATCTGGACCTCGAGAATTATTTTATTTTATAATATGAATTTATTATAATACATCTGTTCTATATCAGTGTATAATCAATATATTCTATATGAATCAATATGCTCTATACTAATCAATAGGTTCTATATGAATCAATATGCTCTATATTAATCAATATATTCTATATGAATCAATATGCTCTATATTAATCAATACATTCTATATAAATCAATATATTATATATTAATCAATATATTGTATATTAATCAATATGCTCTATATTAATCAATATATTCTATAATAATCAATATGCGTTATACTAATCAATATATTATATAATATATATAATATATTCCATATTAATCAGGCGTCGCGCCATATGAGAAATATTTTATTGCCATTAAGAGCTGCAGTAGTTTGTGTTGGCACTGACATTATTGATTACTGTTACTCAGGATTGGGGAGTAATGGAAATGGTGATTCATTATTTGTTACAGAAAAAAGATGTAATCAGATTACAGTTACTTTTAGTAAAAACTAATGTGAACAATGTGTCCCTTTAAAAGAAAATGGAAACCAAATTAGATAATAATAAATACTGCCACTGTAATTACACTGCTATAAAATACTGCACTGTTTAAACAGTCATGGAAGCTCTAATAATTCAGACTGCACAGACCATCGACCAGTGAGTTCTACAATAATTTAACTCGGCAACGTCGATAATTACACTGGGTAGAATAATTAAATAAATTGCATTTTGTAAATCTACTC